CGAAGGATAAGATGCGTTCGGATTCGGATAAGAAGCAACATGAGTACGAGGTCCACTCGAAAACGAGAATGTCGTCGATGTATGAGAAGCAGCGCCAAAAGGATCATCAGTGACTCCCCAACCCTGACTTGATTCGTGTTGTGTCGGAGCCAAAAGGCCTTTGAACTCGGCGGCCTCGTGTTCGTCCCACCACATATTCCCTCGCTCATCACGATAGGCCTCACCTAGAGGCAGACGCGTCTCCGTCGTTGGCTTCAATTTTCTCCGTCGTTGATCATGGCCACGACGATCCGAACCGTGATGGTGATCTGAATGGTGGTGGTGATGAGTCCGCCCGGTAGGAGCGATATCCCGGGCCTGCTGTTCCATTATGCGTTTAGTATTCCGCTCGATAGAGCCTCCGCCCACGAATTGCATCATGAGAAGTTCCGAGGCAAGACTCGGAGGCAGCTGTTGAGGAGCTGGTTTAGAGGATTTCGACTTGCTTTGTGATTTCGAGGACCGTCGAGTGAAAGACATCATATGAGGGAGGTTAGCAGAATATGAATCAGTGCAATGGATTTAACGATGCAGAGCGAAACGAGGTCAAGATACTCCCTTTATACATTCCCAGTTTCCAGTGGCAGAAAGGAAATCTCAAAGGACGTACTTACAAAGGGAATGGATCTGCCAGACAAAGACAATAAAGCAAGATCGCTAACGAAAAAGGCTTTCATCAAACAGCAAAGGAAGTCATTTGCCCATGAGGCGGAACGAAGGAGTGTCATGAGTGAGAGAAAGACAACAAGAGTTGATGTAATTCATAATAAAGAAAAGACAAAAGAACGAGCGCTTCCACAGGCGCCTAAGGGTCAACCTATTTATCGATCTGAAACGTCATGTAATCAGTAAATCTTTGTCCCAAGGAAAAGTAAATGAGTCTGACATAGAACATCCATCGAACACCAATACACCAGCTATATTTTCCCGTATCCACCCGTCTCTAAGAAATCCTTCATTCTCCCAACAATCACCTCTAGTGCCTGTAACCATTTGTTCAACTCCGGGTCGAACTTGTCTGAGGGCTCCCCACATGAGATGACATGGTAAAAATCGCGTCGATGAGGAACAGCTCGAATAGCCACCTGAAAGTCGGTCAAAAAGAGGCCTCGTAAAAAAAAGCAGTATCAATGCTCACAGTTACAACACTCCGAACGACCCAAGCATGATGTTGCTTCAGCACAACGTCATACGCACTCTTGAAGCACACATGAAGTTCATCATTCGGGTGTTCTTGCATTCGTTTGAGAGCATGCTGTATGAGAGCGAGGCCGCTGATATTGAATAGTCAGATGAGATGAAATTAACAAGGAAAGAAGAGAAAACGAAAGCGGGATGTAAGGTGGGGCACATTTCCCTATTTGTCGAAGGTGAAAGGATGCAACAAAAATTGAGATGTAATATCTCCGCATAGACAGATAGATTAAGATGGATGAGGAATGGTAGTTGCAGCAACTAAAATCCGTGCAAAAGCACGCACCGTACAAGACGAACCATACATGCCGTCCCATGTCTGTGGTCCTCATGAATGCCTTCAGATTTCACAAGTTCTTCCAGCGTCCGAGAAGAATCTTGGTATGTTTGGTAGCGTGTACGAACACCCTACAAAAAATGAAGTGAAAAGATAGTGTTCGAATTTTCGGAGAGGCAGCTGTAGCATCAACTCACGCCGATGTTGCCTCTGATATCACTCTGAATAAAGCCGAATATCTTTGACCCAAAGAGATCTTGGACAGAGACGCGTAGTCAGGTAACAGAGACCGTAAGCCAGTGATAGTAAGAGCTCACCAAACATTGTTACCACTCCTTCCGTGGCCTCTAAAAAGTCCACTGTATCTACACCCTCAGGGGAAATTTGAACATCACTGAAAGACTGAAAGAAGAACATTACTGAGGTCAAGCCACTGCTTGAGCGAATCAAATGAAAAACTTTAAACACCAACCTTGATTGTCTGGAACAATGGAGCCATTGGCAGAGTCAGTCGATTCACCGAAAGAACTGCAGTTTCGTGGCCTAGAAGAACGAGATTCTCTGAGCGGTAGTAGCAAATTGAAGGGTCTTTTCAGCCTGTGATGTATGATCCAAGTATCGTCGACATGGAGCTGCAAACCGCGTGCCAACAACGCGTGAGGTGGTCATAACTAATAACTGACGAGGGTTGCTCAGCTCGGCAGTCGGGCCGGACCTTATAACTTTCAATCTACAATCGTGTTATCAAACTATTTAACGTTGAGCTCTGACTGACTCTACGCGAGTGGGACACCCTGATCTTCAACCGGGGGTGCTCTTCCATTTCCGACCATGACTCTTGTCCCAGTACTAGTGACATCGTCGACCGTGACAAATATATATGCTGCGTTCAACAGTTCTGTTGTTAATAGTCTCGTTTCTCTCCGACCAGCATCGATAACATACCTGGACCTGGAGGATAAACACGATTATTGGGTGGGGCTGCTACTGTAAGCAATTTCTTGTCGTCTGAAAGCTCGCCATCCATGAAAACCAACCGCGAGCTAGAATGGAATGCATGGGAGGAGTATCCCATGTCCATTAGAGCCACTGCGTCATATCAGGTGCAATTCCATGGTATCAAGTTTTCTTAGTGCTCAAGCGCTCACCTTTCACATCATTCGTACTCAGACCTTCGGGAATGTCGATACCAAAGGTAAACGTTTGATTGAAGTCAATTTGTTCTGGGATTCCCCTGAGAGAAGGTCTTTCGCGAGACATGAACGGAGGATTGAGAAACTCCACTTGGAATTCACTAGTGAACATCAGCCATCTGTAAGTTCGTCGAAATTGTATGATGGAGATGCATAAATCAACGAACGTGTTGAATGTACCATTTTCGACCACACCTGGATTCGGATTGGATCCTGCGATGAATATGTTCCTACCAGAAGGAAGCTGAAGTACGCTACTGGATTTGGTATGGAAAGAAATTAACACACCCGCTGGGCGTAAGTGTGAGACCAGAGTGATATAAACGTGGAATGTTGGTTGTAGGCAGTCCTTCTTTAGTGAATCGATTCCCAAGAGGTGAGTCTGGGTCGTACAGCACTGGTGTAAAGCTAAATCCAATGTATCAGATCTGGAATTTCTAGTCCGACAAGCCATCGAACGTACTCACACTGGATGATCAGCATTTGAATTGCCTATGGTATCGTTGACCGAATCATATGCAGCGTATCCTGTCCCAGCACCATTGATAATAAGGACCTGACCGTTAGGCATCAATACCATCTCAGGCATCATCCTTCCCTCGGGCATTTTCTCCACAATCCAGCCTTTCTCAATGCCTTCTGGAGTGAGAGTAATCCGCGTGCATTGGTCTGAAGCAGGGTCTTGAGATGAGAGGTCTTCAGAAGGCGTTGAATCTGAGGTGTTACTTCCGCCGCAGACGAGTACTTCTGGGATGTAGTTTGGTGGGGAAAGTGGAAGAAGCGTCGCAGTTCCGTCTTTCGGATTCGTGACATGAACACTATTCGGAAGCGAAGGTAGGACAGTTTCGGTCTGGGCTTCAATGTCGTATATGATGGATTGATTATTAGCAACAACGAATATTTTTCCGTCAGGAAGGGCAAACGCTCTGAATTTAGTCTTCATATCTTGGAGATTGAAAGATCCGGTCTGTAATGCTCACCGAGGAAACAGGTTTGTAGGCACCGTCCTCGCCAAAAATGGTGAAAATCGAGTTTGACCATTGTCCTTTGGAGGGAAGAACTCGAAGGTGTTTTCTGGGTCAGTGTTGTAAAATGGCGTCTGCTCGTGAGTTCCTCCAAGGATCATCTACAACACCGACGATGAAGATTTGTTCTGCAAAATCGGATGACTAAAACTAACCAGCGAACCATCGAATATGCGGAGTGAAGAAGGATACCATCGGTATGCAGCTAAATGTAGCGTCGCCGGGTCTTCGAACAGAGTACAGTCCAGCCCAGAGGGGTCATTGCAAGGCTCAAATATTCTGATGCCCATTCGACCATCTGCATCTGGAGGCACAGTCACGTTCGGTGGAAACTCGACGGCCTGCCCGCCAACGCTGACCTAAGATAGCTTGATCATTCAAACAACCAATTCCAAGCATGATTTGCGACATACCATTGTTCCGTTACTAATGAATGCTCCAGATGCACAAAAGGTATTGGTGATCGCGTTCAAGGCAAATCCAGTGTTTGTCTCGAGATTCCAAAGCTCTACCCAAGCTTGGTGTCCGTTTATCTGAAGAGGGTCGCCAAGGACTCTGTCCAGCATTAAGATTAAGGTAGGAGAAACTAGGATCACTTGAGAGGCAGTAATGCCTGTTGTGCCATTGCGGACAAAACTCCACTCTCCCTTTGCTGCTGATACATCACTCGCCTCAGCAAGGAGAGATGGGATTGTGAGTAGGATCGAGGACAACAGTAGCCTTGCGAATTGCATCCTGCGAATTGCGAAATGTGAGATTCCAACAAAACTGTCGGTTGTCTGTATCGTATTAATACACATTCTGAGGAAGTCTTAAATACCAGCTAAGTTTCTCTTATGCTGACTGCACCTGCTTCGAGGTGTGAGTAGGGGTTGTCGAAATCAGGCTCTCAGTGACACGAGACCTTGTCAGCTGGAGGTAGCGAGTCCCAGGAAAGTACGTCGGCTCTCATACTCCTATAACGAAGATCCAATTTGTCTCTCGTGTAAGTAGGGATAGGGTTCAGGATCATCCGGAGGCAATGACATTGCTTGTATGGTATAATGGTATGGGATTGACGGTCTGAGGTTGAGCCACACTGTTTTTCCTTAGCTCGTGCTCATTTAGGAGCTTAAAAGAAGCTTCAGCTCAGAAACACACCAACATAGGGTGCACATTCCCAATAAAAAAGGATGCCATGAAAAAAAACATACAGAGTTACAGGAAAAGCAGCAGCATCATTCATACAACGCACAGAAAGACCGAGCGATACCAAAAAAAACCTTCAAACAATGGACAAGTCCGGATTTGAACCGGAGACCTTTCGCAATACCGATTAATTCTCATGCAAAGCGAACGCGATAACCCCTACGCTACATGCCCATGTTATGTCACCTTTATTGCACCAATCAATCATTCCGACCCCACTAGAAAGAAGATCCTTTGACAGTCTTTATCCACTGAGCATCAGCCTCTGGATACTCCCAGCTCATCACACCGCCATCTACATGGTAGATAAGAATATACCGACATCCATCAGAACGTTCTAATCAAGAAATTTACTATTCAAATGACTCACTCCATTTGTTTCCCTTTGCAGTGGCCACACACTTTGCCAAATCCGCTGGAGCCATGTACCCGGTCGTCGCATCAGCTTGTCCACCAGGCTTACCGATGACGACTTTGTCTGCTGTGACGCCGCCTTTCATAATTTCGAACACGGCTGAGCCCGGGTACATCTTGGATGAAGTGAGGAGGCCGTCGCAGGTTGTGTATTCGGTTCCTTCTGTGAAATACGAAACAAGGGAGGGAGAGTAGGTAAGTTCGCAGGTATTAGAGGATGCAAAAGAATGGGCGTACGGTTATAATACTACAGTACAGGTGGAATATAAACGTTTTCTTATTCATTCGGAAGATAGTCAACTCAAAATTCACCTGAATATTATACTGTGGCACAACGTCAGCTGCCGCAATACGAATTGTTGACGAATTACGCACCCAGTCAATCTTACTTCCAACCTCCTGATGAACCTTTGTGTAGGCGCCAGTTTTGTAATGGGATGCACTGAACCATGGTGCGAGAGCTACATAGAATGTAGGTCAATCGATATAGCAGCCTCAGAGAGCAACATACGAGCATGCGTCAAGATATATTTGCCTTGGGGAAGTTGAGTTCGAAGCGCATTAGTGAAATCAATCAGCCATTGCTCAGCCTTCCCATCTTGAGCATTCATAGCATTAAGATCTTCGTAGTCGACGTCTATTGACCAGGCCAGATTCAATTCGCAAGGTGGATAATGAGATGCGGAGGAAAATCACCCACCGATCCCATCTACATCATTATCCTGAACCCACTTCGCCATTGTTGCTGCAGTACTTTTCGCGTCTTTCGACGTAGGCAAATCGGTCGAACCAAATGCCGAAACGATGAGCTTGATGCCGGCTTTCTGATATGAGCTCTTGGTACTGGATTTCTGGTCTTTAGGTAGGGTTTCCCAAGCTTTCGCTTGGTCAGCGGCACCAGTGGTCAGAAGGAAGGACATCGCACTGTCCGAAAAAGAATTTGAAGGTGAGTTCAAGAGTAACAGGTATGAGTACGAGTACTCACACAGTGTTGAAGCCCTATCCGGACACAGAAAATGAGTCAAGCATTAGCCGGTACCTCGAACGAGACCGAACACTTACGGAAATCTTCGACACATCGGGTGCAGGTTCCGATCCTTTGTCCGTATACACGACAAAGTGCGGCGCTGCGGGAGCGGAAGCTCTGGCTTGATGAGACAGAGGGGCTGCCCAAACGCCATCGAGGAAGCAGGACATGGTTAGGGCTAGGACGCCGACTGTCATGAATACGTTGGATCCGGGCATGACGATGCAAGAGTGTAGTGTAGTGCAGTGAGATAGAGCAAGATAGGTATTGGAATATTGGACCAGCCAATTAGTGAACGCAAGCAGTCGAGGAAGAGAGTCGGGTGAAACCAGTCACGCTGAGGGAAGTGAAGGTTAGCATTTCTTGTTTTATAGAACTTAGCTCGGGCTATGAGGAATAGTATGACTTCGAAGTATCAGGATGTACTGCTCTGAAGGCGATATCCCGTTGTTCATGGAGTATCCGTATCAAGGCAAAAGTTCCGATGCTTGTCCTAGGGATACTGTGAATGGTAAATGCATCTTCCGTTCCACCACGGGACGTAAGTTGTTAGAGAGTATGCAGTGCAGCTCGGCACTGTCGTACTAGATCATATATCTGGTCAAAGGGATAGTCGTATTTTTAATCTCTTGGCCCTTTTTCAAACGTGAGATTTAGTGACCATACTCTTATTTTCATACAGAGAAGTTGGAGATTACTAGAAACAGACTTAGGGTAGATGGCAGAGGGCTTGAATGAGATTGATGTTCGAAAATTTCCATCTGACGGTCAATGCATATCCCGGAGGGAGAATGACATCCTATGTTCACTTTGCAGATTCAATGTTCTCTGGCGTCAGGCTGTTACCACGTACCGATCTTGGACATATTGCTTTTGAGCAGTCGCGACCGAGCGCTTCACTGTTACTGTGGCCCGGAACTAGGAAGTCTCAACGATAGATCCGCGGGTGTCGTCAAACCCTGTCGGCAAGGAATTCCAAGTCCAAGTCCATGCTGAGACAGTCATGCCATTTAGCTACTTTTGGTTGTCTCGGTGAACTGGTATTTACCGTATGAGCAATCAAACCCCGAAAGGAAGTGGAGAATATCGATAATATGATGAGTATTCGGGAGCAGAGCCAGCGGAAACGTTTCCACATAAATTATGAAAATGCATCTTCCTCGGTTTGGAATCTCTTTAAAATAGCATCGAAAAGGGGGGAGCTCAGAGGTGCTGCAAATTTTTATCGGAATTTGATGTTCGGAATCAGTGGTAGGCCGCAGATCATTGACAAAAACCTGTTTGCATCGTTGAATGTGCTGAGCTCAGAGTCACTGCGCGTTTCAAACTTGTGCACGTGCTAGGGTGAGGTCATCAAACCCTTCACAGACGAACTCTTCATCCAGGGTTACCATTAAGGACCTGCTTCCTTTCCCTCAAGGCCACATCATACCATGACCAGCAGATTAAAGCGAAAGCTGGGCGACATTGGTGTCGATCCCTCCAGTGCAAGAGCTAATGAAAATTTCTGTTTAGTGGGCACGAATACTCGGATTGCTGTGGTATAATTTGACACTTTATCTGCGTACAGATTGGTACACCTCTCCCACCGCTTGAAAAGTCCCGCGACACAGGAGAATTCGTTCCGCTGTGGAAACAGGAAGTTCGGGATGAGAAGGGTAGACGAAGACTTCACGGGGCATTTACAGGTGGATTTAGTGCTGGTTACTTTAACACTGTGGGCTCGAAAGAAGGTCAGCAGTGACTCGGACTTTCACTGTTCTGTACAGCAACAAACTGAACAGAATTGTTACAGGATGGACTCCGCAAACATTCGTCTCATCGCGCGCTGACCGTGCAAAGAAGAAAGCAGCGAGACCGGAGGACTTCATGGACGACGAAGATTTACAAGATATCAGAGATAGTCGGAAGATTGTTGATACGACGGACGAGATGGATCTCACTACTGGAAAGCAAGCAGAGAGCCAGGACGATACGGACGCTGAGTGTGTACACGACATTCAATCAATTTTATTCCTAGAGTTGCTGAGCTTGCCATCTAGCCCTCTCACTGCTACTCTCCAATCCGCAATGTTACCGCCTTCGAAAGACTCCATTGGAGCTCGTATACTCAAAAAGATGGGCTGGCGTGTCGGACAAGGAATTGGTCCTCGTATCTCGCTCAAACAAAGGCGGCTACAAGATTTACGAGCATCCTCGATGACCGACTCAGCCTTGTCTACAAATGCCCCGGATACCGCCCTTGAGGAAGACTCGGATGAAGCAAATAAACATACTTACGCTCCCCGAGATACACCGGTACTCGTTGTGGAACGAAAGGACAATAGTCATGGATTAGGCTATCAACCAGGCATGAGTTTAAATGATAGTCTCGGCACCAAGGGTGGTGGTGGCCCAAGCACTGCACCCAACATCTCTTGTAAGTTTTGTAGGTTTCGTGTAGCCATGGCACCAATCCTGATGTATCTTCTTCCTGCAAAGCTGGATCCGGTCTTGGAGCACTCAATGACGCTGACGAAGATGATCTCGACGTTTATGATGGTGGGTCCGTCAATACTCGAAGTCGCCTTGCGTACGATGCCACCGACGACCATGACGGAGAACGATTTGCACTTGGTAATTCAAATCTAGTAGGTAATTCGCCTTTTCAGACGTGCGGTTTTGATTTTCAGTCTTATCCCGTCTGTAGAGATCTGCCTCGGGTCACAATTTACCTTCCAGTGGAAAGTACCGCGATGGGACTGCTGTATTATCTGGATTCGTCTTGTCGGGTAAACCCATCATGGAGGATCGATGGCGAGTATCCTGGTGTATTCTGGAGTGCACTATCAACTGACTTATTTGGTTTAGGTATCCCTTACCTGATATACCACCTGGATGGAAACCTGACCCGAAACGCGTATGGTCCCAAATTCAGTCCCAAGAGCAAATTCCGGATTCGAATAAGGAGAACTTCAAGGGTGATCCTACTACGGTTCTGCCGCATGGCAAGTGGAAAACGAGTGGATTTTCTACAGACGAAGTATGCTATCTAGTTTTCTGGTCTCTTCCTGAGAGATCGACCTGACTGTTCAACAGCGAGGGTCGATATTGGGCGAAACTCCTCTTCCGTCTGCACCTCGTTCAGTCTTCGACTACATGTCCCAAAAGGATCGCGACAGGCTGAAGAATATCGCTGCGTCGCTACATTCTCCTTCGACAGCAGGAATATCTGACAAACAACCCTCTCCCACTCTTGGACCAATTCCTGCAACTCCCCGGATCCCCCGTACTGATCCTCGAATTGCACATGCTGCTCTCAGCGGATTCAAGCCATTTGCCACCGACCCGGTCAAACAAGCACGATATACAGCGTATCTACAATCACAAGCTGATTCCTCATCCACGGTCACGCTCGAGCCTCTCCCTCACCAGTCGATATCTGAGTTCAACTCTGAGATGGAAGAGTATGCACAGAGTGCAATCGTCTTCAAGCCAATGAGCGGAGCAATGGCAGGGCGTTTCACCACTGCGGCCGTGGTTGAGCACGGGCCGAAGGTGATAGAGGGTTTGCATACCCCCGAATTTAACGATGGACCTTCGCAGGACAATGCTGCGAGCTCAGATGCGGAGAACAAAGCTAAGGATGAAAAGGAGCTTTCCCCGAAGGAGAATGCCGCGCGAATGGGCATGTATGGACCACTCACGAGGGAGTCTGTACCTTGGCAGCCAGCGAGGTTGTTATGCAAGAGAT